GGGACGCAGTTTAGGGGTACTTGCTCTCGTACCCCTGAAGTAGAGTTCACCCTAGTCTCTACTTTGAAGAGTCCTTTGTCTAGGATCTCTTTTTTAGCCTTTAGGGGAACAGGTGGCATGCTGCGGCCGCCTGCGAGAAGAGGTGGATCCCTATTCCACTTGTTAAAGCGTTGGTTCAGCTCCGTGTCTGAACCCTCGATGATAAGGAAGGTGTTCCGCCAATCCTTCCATTTGTTCGCCTTACCTCTCGTCATGAGGTAACCCCTATGGCTTGTTAATTGATACCAGCCGGTACCTCCCGACTTAGGGGTCCGGCTGAGATAGTTCATGTGGGCGAAAGCCTCAAAGCTTGGCTCCACCCCGTACATTTCGCACCCGGCCACATAGCCGAGTACGTTTACCCAAGAGTTGGGGGCTAACTGCCATAACCCCAAATCATACCCATCTAAAATCCGCTGAACAGCCGGATGTAATGGGAAGCGCAGTCCAGCTTTGATGGCCGCCACATAGCAGCCAAAGCAGCCGTCATCATAGCTGGTACCAGCCGGCCAGACGACAGTGTCTTCTGGATCTGGCACGAACAGTAAAAATTCCGGGCCCATTCTGTGGTTAGCAATAAAGCTCTCCACTTTGTCTTGCATGGTTGCGATCCGGCCCCGGGGTACCATGCAGTAGTAGGGGGCGTTTTCCTCTCTGTAAGAGGCGGATGGCTCCGCCCAATTGTCCCCCTTCTCAACTGCATGAGAAATCCTCGCCTCTTGTAGGCGGCTGTTTCTTTCTTCTGAGCCTGGAGAACTGTGGCCAGAAGAGCTGGACTCGGACTCGTCCTCTGACGAGTCCGAAGAGGACGACTCCTCCCCTCTCCCAGAGGGGCCCGCCTCCTCTCCCTTAGAAGGAGCAGGAGGAAAATTAGACATATCAACGGTCAAATGGGAAGGGACCACCTTGACCCCTCTCTCAGAACTGTCGGCTTGGCAGTCGCCTCGTTTCACTTCTACATCTGGCGCCTGGTCAGATGTTTCACTAATGAGCACCCTTTGGGAGGAGCCGTCCGAGTTTGAGATCATAGCAGTCTTTTTTGTTCTGGCCATCACGTTCTGCATAGACACAGATACAGTCGGACTTTGTATAAAGGGCAAAGATGGGTCCAGAAAAGGGCAGGCGGCACTCCTAGTCCTAGATTCAGCCGTCCCCGGTGACCGGCTGATCACTAACTTAGGTCGTGTCGTGTGCTTCCGTGGTGCCATTTCAAAAAAACAAAAAGAAAATTAAGAGTAAGAGAACTGAGTTACCTGAACGAGTGACGGTTGATGAAGTTCTGGAAATCCGGTGCAGTCGGCTTGTCAGAACAGGCGGTAGGCAGAATAGGTCCGAAATGTCAGAGCAAGTTCAGGGGTCCGAATGTTCTCGCAAAGTTCTCAAATGTGAAAATGACCGAAGTCAGCACTTCCTTATATAGGCAAAGTGAGAAGGCGAAGGGTCGCTTCCAAATTCAAAATTTGGGCGGGAAATCTCTCGGCCATTTGCAAGGTGACACCTGTAGCAGGCCGTCGCCTGTCGCCGTGCGACACCTGTCACAGGCGACCCGTGACCAGTCACGTGCCACCTGTGAGGGGCAAATGATTAGGGGATTTTTATCTTCCAATCACCGTTTGACAAGTGGACCAACCAGGTTCCGCCACGTGTCCTTCATGTAGGCCAATAGGAGCCTGCCACGTGTCAATCACAGATACGTCCTCTACGGACCAATTGAGACACGCCACGTGTCCACCCATGCCAAATGGGAAAACCGGCCAACAAGGCCCAATCCTGTCTAGAGGCCCGGTCAACCCTAGGTTTACCCTAAACCTAGAGAGTGGCACGCTTCTCAAGACTATAAATACTTAATTAATCCTCATTAATCCAGGGAGGAATCAATCAAGCAATTAAGAGAGCAATTGATCAAGCAACTAATCTCACCTGAAGAACGGAACAGAACAGAAACATTACGGAACATTAATAACCGGCTAATCTCGCTAACAACGCAGATTACCAACATTAAACACTCTCACCTAGAGAGATCTTATTACTTTAATTTCCGTATTAATTACTCCTTAATCAGGTACTAACTTGACCGTTGGAGGCGGAGCTCTCAGGAGTCTCCGTTATTTTGCAGGTACAGGCGTCCGGTTCCAGTCTCGGAATTGTAACTCTCCCGCAGGACATCAGAAAACCCCGAAACAGTTACTAATAGATCATTGAACTCTGTTAGATTGTTGTCTAGTTAGAGAATGTGGCAATGTTAGTAAATATCATTAATACCATATTCATTAGACACCCTTTTAATCATCATAGTTTTTCCTTCTCCTCAATCCTCACTCCAAATGTTTAGGAGTAAGATATAATCGTCTATATACCCGATACAGCTCAAAAAGTGATATTAAATACATGTGCTGCTTGTTAAGATTGTTGTAATTAACTTTCAGAGTTTATTATTCTCTTATCACTCAATCGCAGCTTGTTATTCTCTAACAACTCATCATTTAAGATAACACAACATATGATCATAGAATATTATAGGCAGGATAACAAATACAAGATCACACAGCATATTATAAAACAAGATACTATGTACAAGCTCCATGTCTATTCATTTACTCACCCCGATGTATTCATCAAACTTTAGACCAGCAAAATTGGAGACAAAAACAGGTTGTTAGGCAGTGGTCCTAACCAACAACTCATCACTTATCGGGTTAACTTTGATATAACACGAGAGTGCGGCAACCTTATCCTCGTAAGAAGGGTAGGGATCTCCGTTCGTTCTATGATGATAAAATCCGTTCTTTATGCAAAATTGCAAGCCGATTCAGCATGTCCGCCAAGCTAGGGAGAGTTCCTATGTTCACTCTGATATAGGAGCGTTTCATATGAGATATATAGTTTCTTGTTAATTAGATGACCATAATATCTAAAATTATTTATCAGAGCAGCACTCCAACAATACTTGCAAAATCAAATAACAAAATCATTAGGATATAAATAGTTTACATACAGAACTGTACAAATAGCTAATTCTGATATAATAAGAGCTAATAAAAATGGATTACATACATAAAAAAGAATATTATTTTCTTATAATTGAATACTTCTATATATAAGTGCACTTCAAAACATAAATATATTGTTTTATAATCAATTAACTCAGGTCTATACTAATGATATATAACAGACAATGGAACAAACTCGAACCTTAAAAATGAAATAAATGAGATAAATTCATAAAAGGATAATTATTCATTTGAAAAATGAGGGATTCAAATGAGTAATTTCAAATGTTTGAATTCAATTCCAATTTTTTTTTTTTTTTTTTTTTTTTTTTTTGAGAGACAAAGTAACATTTTATTTGTAGATAACATTTGAAAAAGATGGAATTAATCTTATAAATAAAATACTTATAAATATAAATTTGCACTAAAATTATTTTATAAACAAAAATTGTAATATTCTTTCTAATTTTGAATTGCGATCATATATATTTATATTAATGAGTCACAAACAAAGTTCGTTATATTTCAGTTTAACAATTATATAATTTTAATAATTTTAAAGCAGGAACTCGCTTGGAGAATATTAATTAAAAAGTGGAATTGTTTCTCCAAAAAAAATAATTAAAAAATGACATTAATATGGTTATGATCATAAAATAGCGAATGTAGTTGAATTAAATAATTTTAATTTCGATAACCAATATATAGGATCACTTCATATCCCTACGTTATTCGAATTCTTTTTTTTTTTTGAGGAAACGTTATTCGAATTCTAAATTACCTATGACTAATTTAATAAAGTGTCATGTAATATAATTAATATGTAATTTGTTAAGTTTTATATAAATATTAACGTAATTTGTTTCAACCTTGAATCTAGTATGTCTTTTAATGATTAACATAAATAAATTTATTTATTTAATTTTAATTAACAATTAATTTTGTTGATTTGAATCAATAATAAATGTTTCTCGTTTTGTTATTGTAAAATATTATTTTCCGTTTAATCGGAATCCGATAATATAGAGTTTGTGTCCGGCGTTAGTTAGACCTTCCGAAAAACTTCTCAAACTTATTAATCTCATCAAATTACGTATATTCAAGTATATATATTTGTGAAATAATTTTTCTTAAATTATATTTGTATTATAAATTTATATGTATGTTTGTTTGTATTGGTATATTCGAATCCGACTATTGTTCTCAATGGTGTGCCGTTCGAATAGCTTGCTTATCAGTCATCAATTTGGAAACAATTTGGAAAGTTAGGTAATACAATTTGTTAAACAATTTCTATTGTGTCAATTATATATTTCAATTTGGAGGTTTATATTTGTTAAATTTATGCTCTGTTTCATTTAGGAATGTTTATGTAAGTGGCAATGATATCTCCGTCGTATTCAAGGAATATGCAGAGTGATGTAAGGCATTAAAACAACCGTGCTCACATTCTTTGACAAAGGTAATGGTATGTTTTTCTTGATGATTTCTTATTATAAGTCAATTGAATTATTGATTGACTGCATCTAGATTTTGTCAAATTAGATACCCTTTAATTATTGAAACACCAATTATTGCTTGTGTATCTATTCCTAATAATATAGATTTATTTGCAGCCGTATTCATGATTTGAATGCCCTTACATTTCTTCAAAGGTGTTTCTCTATTGTTAATTGTGGCTTTTTGAGGTATCCCGTTGAATAACCATACCCACAGAAGTCGAAAAAGCCAAATTGTTCATTATTCTCTATACGTGGTTTCACTCTAATTTTAGTCTAAAGCACTACACATAAATAAATTTGGTCAACTTGAAAACCCATTATGATAAGGTTACTTTTGTGCTGCAGCCTACGGTTTATTTTAAAAAGGGAATGCGTTCCATTTAAAAGAGAATGTGTTCTATTTTGACCTCTGCATTTTTTACCCTTATGATATGGTTTTTTATTATTTTAAAATGAATCATTTGTTTTATAAAATCTTGGAAATATACAATTATATTATTTACATAATATGATAAAAGGATTTTATAAATATTTCCCTATTTTCTAAAAAAATATAAAAAATAAAAAATAAAAATTCCCAACCTTTTAAAAAGTAGGAGAGGTTATGAATAGTGTATGAACGTTTATACTCCTCAAAATATTTGTTTACATATTTTCCCTCATTATAAGTTTAATAAGCTTTTTTTTTTCTTACCTAATGTTTGTGTTACATATTTGCCTTCATGTAAATAGTTATAATAGAATACATTATGGTCAATTGGAAAAAAATAGTTAATTTTTTCAAAGACTAGCACCGAAATCTAACACCACCAGAGCATAACCTTCAACACCACCGGAATTATCGCCACCTACAACTTAACCTTCACAACCACCACTTCCACCCTCTACACCACCAGCAACAACCACCACATAAATCACCATACCAACAACAAAAGCCACTGAAATCACCATACCTACCAACCAAACCCGGGCACACTGAAATATGTACTTGATTAAGGCGAGCATCATCATCTCTATCTACCACAATCGACGAAGCCGCTGACCGGACAGTGGACGCAACGGTTGAAGCACCGGACGATACGATCCTCAGATAACTCGAAAGCGCCCGAAACTAGCTCGGGATGATCCCATTAGGCCGACCCGTTGAAGAAGCAGCATCTGCCACTGAATTTTGTTTGCCATCTGTACTGACATGCCAGCTGTTATTGACAGCTATTGAATTTTGGGGATTCCTTTGGTTTGGGTTGGGTCTTCTGTCGGTCTGGTTTTGGCAGGCTCTGGGTTGGATGATGCCTTCGTCTTTCTGGTTTGCCATCTGTACTTACTCTTTTCGTCTTTCTGCTTTGCATGTTAGCTTTGGTGCTTTGATTTCTTAATTAGGAGGTTAGGATTACAATTAGTGTTGGATGTGTTGTGGATTGGAGTAGCTTAGTTGGGCATTACTTCAATGTCTGGTTTTCAGGAATTAAAAAAAGACTTTACTGTACTTAGTTTGTCGCATAACTCTAGGGTTATGAATGGGTGCCCTTGTTTATCATAGCCTATATATAGAGTGAGGGGGGTTCATTTTGGGATATAGCAGGCCATTCATGCCCAGTGTTAATTTCTTTCTGCCTGTGAGTGATTTGAGTTTGTTGTGCAGAGGTATTCGTTTGAGAGGTGGTGGTTCGTTTTAGATGCCATTATATTGCCTATTGTACAGTCTTGCATATGTATTTTGGACTACATCTTTCGAATAACTACTAAATCAAGATTGTTTTACATGAATTTGATTTCACTAATTCGTTGGAACAAAGTCTTTGTTCCTTTTCAGCCTCTTTTGGAAAAAGTTGTTGCTTGGCTGAAGTTTCCATCTCCGGTGTATGGATTTATAGATTTTGCTAAGAATAATGTCTTTGTGCGGGTTAATAAACCAAATTCCCGTGCAAGGTTCATTTTTTATGGTGGAGATGCCAGTTCGGCTGAAGAGTCTCGTGAAAGAGCGGCTCATAAAGCTGTGAAGAGATTGATTTGTCGATTTAATGTTCAGGTGTCTGACTTTACATATGAGCGCATTAAGATGTATCGGCTGTGTGTCAAGTTATATAAGAATCGATGCGCTGAATTGGTGCAGGATAGAGAAGATTTGAGTCGCATTCGTGCAGAGTGCAGCACAAAAGAGGTTGTGCCATTTAATGATGTTCATGTTTTGGTTGATTTTGCTCAGTTTTTGGGAGTTTTAGTGAGGAAGACTGGTGTTACTGTAACTGCCATTGAAACTACTAAGTTAGAAGGACATGGCTATATGTCTTGGCTAATGGTTACTTGTCCTCATAATAGTATTGCCATGGAGTGCATTTTTAGTGAACCTTGTCCTGAAACAAACATTGCTGAGCAAAGAGTTGCAAAGAAAGCGTGCTTTTTCATAGCTTCTGTATTTAATCTAGAGATAGTTGATGCTAACTATGGTGCTGTTGCGAAGATTAGTGAAGAATGTTCTTTGATTAGGGAGAAGTATTCGCTGTTAAAGGGTCATCTTGACTGCTTGGAAAGGAGTTTTAATCAAGCTGAACCTGTTAATTGTTTGGTGAACGATGAATGTGCAACACCAACTGCTGAAGCAAACCAGATTCCAGTCCTAGCTCTTCCACCGACTCTTCCGAATAAGCGTAGGTTTGCTTTGACTGAGCTATCTACGAGTGGTGTGGAAGTGCAGAATTCTGAACGGCTTGTTACTGATCTGCCAGATTTGGAGTCCATTTTCAAATGTGTTAGGGTTGATTAGTTGGTTGATTAGCTATGTATTGTGAGGCTAGCTGCCTTTTGGATTTAGGTGTTTTAAAGGCATGTATGTAGATGCTAGGTTTGTGCTTATGATGTAGTAATTTTATTAACCAGCTTTTTGTTTATTAGTTCCTAAGGTATCGGATAGCCGGAGTCTTTTTGGATTTAATGAAAGCACTGCCATGAATGTATTGCCTGATATGGCTTCTTTTTAATGAATGAAGTTATTGTTTGTTTGCTGTTTATTTCTGTAAACAAGCTTTAGGTCCTGGTTTTCCTTTTTGCCATTAAAGAGGACACTTTGTTTACTGTTCTCCTATTTTTTTTTTTCTTTTTCTCCTACTTTCACAGCTTTGACAGATTTAATTAAAGTTGCCATTCAGACATTTTACTGCACTCCGGCTTTTACAAATTGATCTGAGGCTGTACTAATGGGTATTGTCTTACTTTAAATCAGTTAAATTAGTATGTTGTACACAGATGGTACTTGCATCTTTTCATATTCACGGTTAGTGTTATCTGTTGTATAATAGATTGTCGATATGACATAGCTCACCTATCTCGGAAAAGGTGTAGTCGATTAAATAAGGCCACACAGAGGTCATCACAATCAACATTTGCTAGGTATATATATTTACCAAAGTTACAGTACTAAAGATAACCAGCAAGGTTTTTTTGAAAAAAAAAATCAACTACAGTTTTAAACGCAGCCCATCTGTACCGGACAATCAGTGTGCTGCTATACAGCCTCGACAAAGTCGAACATCAAAGCGACAGAAATGCATACAGGAACTGGCTACATCGCAGTTAACTAGGTACACAATATTACTTGCTTAAATGCTTTTATGTCTCTCTTTGCTGTAGTGCATGTGTGTATATCTTATTTGGGCCGATAGCATGATTGTTTTTTTACTACTGATTCCTCGTGGTTAGACTGCGTTAGACATACTCTCTTAATGCTCACAAATAGCTACACTGTTTGGCATTATTGGTTGTTTGACTTAGTATAAATAGGAAAATAAAAATTGATAATTTTCTGCAGTGAAGTAGAAGCAACACCAACTGTGCCTTCCAAAAAAACTTCTAAAAATTGTCCTAAAGAAGGTAAAAGGGCATAACAATAATATACATGGTATGTTTGTTTATCATTATTGTTAATAATTATCTTATATGTTTGTTTGGTTATATTTGTATTCCGTTTAGATGTTCTTGGTGCTGCTATAGGGCGACAGTTACCAATAGAGTCTTCCAGACTTTCTTTGCCTGTCTACTGTGATAAATGTGGTGCGAAAAAGTTTATGTTTGAGTCCTTGCATTTCTGTTGTGGAAATGGAGACATAGAAATAGCTCCGAATGAGTATCCTCCTGAACTTGTTTACCTGTTCACTTCGAAGGACGAAGTTGCCGTGCATTTTCGAAAATATGCTAGATTATACAATAATTTGTTCGCATACAGTTCTCTTGGGGGTCAGTATTATGCAAGCACTTACAAAGGGATTTATGTATTCAAATTGCATGACCAACTGTATCATTTTGTTCCACACTTATTGGCTAATGATAACAGTCCCAAATACCTACAATTGTACTTCTATGATGGGCAGCATGAAGCACAGAATAGGTTGAATTGTTTCCCTATACTAAGAGAGGATGTGATTAGCATCCTCATGCATGTATCCAAACAAAATCCTTATGCTATGTTCTTCCGGTCTTTAAGAGACAGAGTTATTCATGCGGATACAACAATTGTTCTTAATAAAAACCCAATACTTGGTCAGCGTGTTTATAATGCTCCTGCTGTTGATGATGTCGCCGTAATCTGGCCTGAAAATGCTTCATCTAGCCAAACCTTAGGCCCTCATATATTAGTAACTGGAAATTCTGATGAGTCTTATCGAATTTATCATAATTATGGTTGCTATGATCCCCTTCAGTATCCTTTGTTATTTCCTCAAGGAGAATGTGGCTGGACTCAGGGTCTTAAAAAAAATTCTCATCCAAGGAGAAGATCAACAGACTCGATCCCAGATCCTATAATGTCTTGCGCCGTCCATACTGCTGCAGATTTAGTTAACGAGGAAGAAACACGTAACCATTTTTGCTTCTATATGTCCTATTATACTTTCTACCTATAAATCCCAAAATTGCTTTCACTTATCACTTATTTTGTTGCCTTTTTATATAGGTGCAAAAAGACATAATACTAGAGCAGACAAGTTCATTTCTGCCAGAGAATATTATGCATACAAGTTGCAGATTAGGCCTAATAACATGCTTTTGCGGGCAAGCCGATGCTTCCAGCAATATATAGTTGATATGTATGTCAAGATTGAAAATACACGACTTGATTACTTTCGTAACAATCAAGAGACAATTCGGGCTGATCTGTATAAAGGTATTTTGGATTCGCTAGATTCTGGGGAAACTCTTGGTTATAATGTTGGGCGCAAAGTTATTTTACCTCCAAATTATATTGGTGGCCCTCGGGATATGAAGAAACGTTACCTAAATGCTATGGCTTTAGTGCACAGATTTGGTAAGCCAGATCTTTTTGTCACAATCACCTGTAACGCTAATTGGCCTGAAATAAAAGCTGAACTAGCTACTGGTGAAACGGCACAGGATAGACCGGACTTAGTTGCTAGAGTTTTCAGAGCAAAATTACTTGCGCTGAAAAAAGAAATCATGGAGAAAAAAATATTTGGGGAAGTTGCTGCAATGGTATATGTAGTCGAGTTCCAAAAGAGAGGTTTGCCTCACGCTCATTTCTTGATTATTCTGAAACCTAAATACAAGTTAAAGTCTCCGGATGACTATGACAGGTTTGTTTGTGCTGAAATACCTGCAATATTAAATCTTACCTTGAGAAGAATTGTGTTAGCACATATGATGCATGGTCCTTGCGGTATATTGAATCCAGAGTGTCCATGTATGCGGAAGGATGACCTGAAGCTAAGTTGTAAGAACAAGTACCCTAAGCAGTTTTGCAGTGAAACAACTAATAATAAAGATGGTTATCCTATCTACCGCAGAAGACAGACTGGAGAGAAGGTAACCATAAGAAATGCACAACTAGACAACCAGTGGGTTATTCCTTACAATCCTTATCTTTCTTTGCTATTTGATTGTCATTTGAATGTTGAAGTATGCTCGACAATCAAGGCAGTTAAGTATCTATACAAGTATGTATATAAGGGTCATGATAGAATTTCATACAATGTTGTGCCTTCTAGCAGTGACTTAGTAGATGAAATTGCTCAATATCAATCAGGAGGTGGGTATCTCCTTGTGAAGCTGCATGGAGAATATTCAGTTTTGATCTGTTTGAAATGTATCCTGCGGTTCTACCTCTACAGGTTCATTTACCTAATATGCAAACTGTTCACATTCGCCCTCATGAAAGGCTACACTCTGTTGTTTCAGACTCTAAATGGTCAAGAACTCAGTTAACTGAATTCTTTGCAATGAATGCTGCTTCTAACCATGGACTAGGATATTTGTATAGTGAATTTTGTGAGCATTATACATGGCATCCAAGTGATAAAAAAATGGAAACAAAGGGTCCAGAACAGAATCTCAGTAGGGAGATTAGCATTTGTCTTCCCTGCAGAAGGAGAACGATTCTTTCTTAGATTACTATTGTTAAATGTAAAAAGCCCTAAGTCATTTGAGGCTTTGCGTACTGTCAACGGTTGTCTTTACCCAACTTTTCAGGAAGCTGCGCTAAAGCTTGGCCTTATAGAAGATGATGATGCGGCTAATTCAACGTTGTCTGAAGCATGTGAGACTCATATGCCAGCTGCATTACGTCGTCTATTTGCAACAGTGTTGATGTTTTGTCATCCAGGTGACCCTGCTTCTCTATGGAATACCTATTATTCTTTTCTTGCCGAAGACTTTTCTCACAAGTACCCAAATCAGTTCTTGAAAATACAACAACTTACAGTCACAGCAGTGGAGCAGCACCTTGAAGCCATGGGAAAATCACTTGCGTTCTTTGGTTTGGAGCAATTAAATTCCCAAGTTAGTGATGAATTCAGGCGTACAAAAGACATTTTAGATGCTCTTGATGCACCAATACCAGAAGAATGTTTAAGCTGCCGTTCAAAGTTAAACCTTGCACAGAATGCTGCTTTTGAGAGTATAATGGACCATGTTATGCAGGGGAAAGGTGGAGCTTTCTTTATTGATGGTCCTGGAGGTACAGGGAAAACTTTTCTATACAATGCTTTATATGCACAAATACGACAAATGGACAAGATTGTTTAACCTACAGCTACATCGGGAATTGCCGTAGCAAACATTCCTTCGGGCAGAACTGCTCATTCACGATTCAAAATTCCAATTAATGATGAAATTTCCTTAGCGTGTGATGTTCCAAAACAAGGTAGTTTAGCAGCATTGTTAAAGGAAACTACCTTGATAATATGGGATGAAGCTTCAATGGCTAAAAAGCAAAATCTAGAATCTTTAGACCTTTTATTACAGGATATATGTGGGAATAAGATGTTGTTTGGAGGAAAGGTTGTTGTTTTTGGAGGAGATTTCAGACAGGTTTTGCCAGTAGTTCCTCGAAAAACTATGAAGGAAGCAGTAGAAGCAAGCATAGTGACTTCGTATCTTTGGCCCAAGTTTATCAAATTTCGACTAACAGAAAATATTAGAGCAAGGGAAGATCCATTGTATTATGCTTTTCTACTAGCTTTAGGTAATGGTGAATTACAACAATCAGAAAATGCCTTTATCGAGCTGCCAGAACAGATCGTACAGTGCAATAACAATTTCATAGAATTAGTGGGTATCGTTACAGAAACATCCTTTCCAGAAATATTTCATGGGAAATTTGATTGTGAAGTTTTTGCTAGAAAGGCAATTTTAACACCCATGAATGACGATGTGGATTCCATAAACACATTCATGATTGAGCAATTCCCTGGACACGCTGTAACGTACAAGAGTTTTGATGCAATTCTAAATGATACATGTAGTATATATCCTACAGAATTCATTAACAAGCTATGTCCCGGTGGAATGAGTCCTCATGAGCTTGTTTTAAAGGAAAATTGCCCTGTTATACTATTAAGAAATTTGTTGCCATCTTCAGGTCTATGCAATGGCACTAGGCTAATCTGTAAGAAATTTTTCCCAAATGTGATTCAATGTATTATAGCTGTTGGCCATTACAAAGGGGAAGAGGTGTTCATACACAGAATTAACTTAAGACCTTCTAGCTCTGTCAATTATCCATTCATGTTCGAAAGAAAACAGTTTCCTATAAAGCTAAGCTTTGCTATGACAATTAACAAGTCTCAAGGGCAAACTTTAAATCAAGTATCCATTTATCTCCCACGGCCATGCTTTTCCCATGGGCAACTTTATGTTGCATTATCACGGGCCAAGAAATCAACAGATGTTTGCGTTTTTACAAAAAATGGTGGAGACCAGTGTTCTGCAAATGCTGTTAAGAATGTAGTGTCTTATGAACTATTACGTCTAGCAGGCATTATTGAAAATCATGCATGACAGTGTGCCTAATCTGTTCCCTCACTCCAGGCAAAGGCAAATAGATCAAAGCTGGTGTCAGTTAATCTTTACAGGTACACTATAGTGAAACAATATTTATGTAAAAAGTATAGTTTGAGTTGCACTGATCACATGCTTTTTAGCAATTACTTTTCCAACTTGCCGCATCAAAAACCTATATTTAGTTTTAACCTACTGGCTGATGCATTCTAAGTACTTTAGATTATATTTATTTTTGAATGTTAAATTTCAGCTAGCTGATTTTCATTCTATATGCAGCACCATGATTGTCAAATTGATAATGTCAATAAGTGCAAAGCAGGTTCTGATGTCATGAGAAATGCCTTTTCCTGAAATCATCAAAGGTAGTATGTGGATTCTTGACTTTGAATTTTATTTTAGGATGTGTACATTTTTATTATTGTATTTCATTAAAATGTTTTATTGTAGCTAATTACTTTTGATATGTACAGAACAACATGGTATTCCCTCAAGTTCAGATAAGTGGAAAAAATATAATATAAGGATACATGAGAATTAAGGTGATTTAAGCATTGTCTTGGTAGAATACATGGCTGCATTATCTAATGCATGAGGAAAAAAGAAAAAAGGAAAATAAAAACAACACACACACACACACATTCACACAAAAGAGTCCCATTAGTTTGTCTGCTGGTTCTTTTATTTTCTTATTAGCGTATTTATTGCTCGTCTTTCAGATTATTCATGCTGTTAGATTCTTGCTTTATGCCTTAAATTACTGTACTGTGTCCAACCAGAATATTAGGTAATGCACTTTAGAATGTGATTTTTGAATCATTTTCTTTACTCTTTCAAAAACCTTTTTCCATTGGCTGTTTCTCAACAGTTTTTTTCCTTTTTAATCCATTCTCCATTTTTTCCTCTGTTTTGTTGTTTTGGGATTTTGATATGAATGTGGGTTTTCCTGGGTTTTGTTCCAGCTTCATTTCTGAAGGCGTATTCATGGTCTGTATACATGTCATGGAAAATAATAATTATCTTTTTTTAATAAATAATAATTATCTTTTGAATAAGTCTTTAACTGATTTTTAACTTGGTAAATATTGGCTGCTTAAATTAAGGAGCACGTTGAATTTAGGAGTCAAGCTAGGGAAATCATGTTCCTAAATTTCCTCTGCCTACATCCCAACTTCTCAGTCAAAGAGAACGTGGGATTAAGGGGGAAGTGGGAACTTGATAGAAGCTTGGTTTAACTCCTTATAAAAACAGATCAACGTTAAGTTTTGAAAGCGTGGTAAAACAATCTTAAGTATTCTGAGCATAGAGTTTCAAAGTGTTTAAAAGAGAAGTTCCTTCCATCCTTAGTCTCTTAAGTTCTGTAGGAAATATTTGTAATCATTGTGTAATTGGGATTAGGTTGTGAGAGTTGTAAAGTGTGAGACTTGAGAGAGTTGTTTACACTGTACAAGTGATTCGGAGTAGAATCACAAAGTGTGAGAAACTGTGATTGAGGGATCACAGTTGGGTAACTTGAGTTCCTCACGGAACTTGAGTCTAGGCAACGTATTAGTGATTGTAAATCATTTTTACATAGTGAATTTATTCATTGCCTATCTCAGTGTCTTTTCTCTTAGTAGTAGATTTAATTCCGCAAAATTTACCATAGTCTACATACACTACAATTCACCCCCCCTCTTGTAGTATACATTGTTCTATCACCTTCTGTTTAAGCCACAAAAAAAAAAATGCTATTTTACATTAACTAATAACTGATTATTATCTTAACCATAAAAACTTATTTACTTTTTACTTATTACATAAGGAAAGAGTTGCTTACTCACAACTTAATGCTTTCTAGCTGTACAGAAACAAGATAAGAAACAGTGATATACTTTTTTTAATAGTGAATATCTGAAAAGAGGTAGGTTAACTTGTTCACCAACGTTGCCTATAAATACCAAATCAGCTTCTTCCTTTTAGAGCACCAAATTGTTCTCTGCCCTTTCATTCCTTAGCATGGTATATTTTCCTTTTTTCCTGAACATTCTTTTAGTTAGCTTAGCATCAACAGTTGTTACTAGCACTCCAATTTTAACCTAAATTTCTATGAATAAAATACCATCTTAATAAATCTTTGACTGATATTATTGTTGTTTCGTTATTATTATGACATACCTTAGATTTCCATTAATTGTGTCCTACTTGCTCTGACTAATATTTAAGGTTTTAGCTTCTCCTTTTAAGTTTACATTCTTACACTAAATTCTTGAATATGTCATCCTATTGCATTTATTATACAGATTATTTTTGCACTTTATACATACTTTATGTTTATAGGTTTGTAAAAAAATGCTTCCTAAGCAAAATTCTGCTAGGGAGCACAAACTTCTACAATATCCATGTAAAATACATCATTGTCTGTTTTTGTTATGCACTTTATTTTGACAAGTTTTTGTATGCAATTCACAGTTACATTTTTCTCCTTTAACACAAATATAAATGTTATATCTACACTTATATTATATTCTATGTCTTACTTAGATGCACTTGCTTATTTTTTTTCCATGACATGTATACAGACCATGAATACGCCTCCAGAAATGAAGCTGGAACCTGTATACTTAGACGAGCTTACTGCACAGAGTAAAGACTACAAGGTGAAAGTTACTGTGACCGAAAAGGGAAGAGCTCAGCCCTCGCCTAAAAAGCCTGGTGTCGTATTTCAGACAATCATCTTGGAGGATGAAAAGGTACTTGTGCTTCATGAGGCTCTATCTTAGAAAATCATATACAATATGCTATTAAATTGTGGTGAATTAGTTCTATTGTAAGCTAAACATTCTCTTATGACTATCCTTTTTTGTTGTTACCATAACAACCTAAATATTCAAGAGTATAAATAACCTGTTTTAAAAAATAAGATATAACAAAATAATTGCCAAGTCTTCTGCTTTCCTGCTCCATAAGGAAAAAATATTGAGTGCTGTATTTATAACACAGCCACAAAAAAGTTAATTACTCTCATTGTAAAGTGGAAGCGTAGTAATTATACTTTTTAATGAGCATTAAGAATAAACCTCAGGAATAATGAGAATTTAATTAGAGGCAATAGTACAGTGTTACCCTACTGATCATAGAAATGATCCAAATCTTATTGGCCACCATTAAGCTTGTCACATAAACTTGATTTCACTTTATTATAAAGAATCAAGTTATTTGATAGTTCCATAAACCTATATATTTATATTAATATGTTATAACCCTGTTGTTAATTAGTATGCTAAATATGCACAAAGCTATATATTTATACGCTTTAATCTTGCCTAATTAATATCCTTAATCTGTAACCAGAAAAACAAGATGCGATGTGCTCTTTTTGGAGACCAGATTGAAGCATATGAAGAAGTTCTTAAGCCATCTGGTCAATACGAAATATCCAAGGCTCCTATAACTGCTGTGGATGATCAGTACAAATCCAACTTCAATTTGGAAGAGCTACCTTACCAAATGACTATTGGACAGCAAACTATTATCCAACGTCTGAATCCAGAAAGTGGTCCTATCGAGCCTAAATATCAGCCTTTGTCAACTATTCCAAGATCACCTGATCCAAACGGCAGATTCGGTTTGTTTTAAGTGAAACCTAAAGTTTTTACACTGACTACAAAAATTATACTATTTTCCATATTATCTAACTTTTATTTTTTAAACACCACAGATATAGTTGGCGTGGTACTATTTGTTGAAGAAGCACCAAGGATGATACCTAACATTCGTGGCCGTGATAGTCCAGTACGAGAGATATCTATTACCGACACAAGGTGACAAAATACTTTCAAATGTCAACTTGTTATTATACCTTTTATTCTACAAAATCACTTGGATAACTTACAATGTATAATGTATGATGGATCAGCCAAGACCATGCTATGACAATCTCAGCATGGAACGATCTTACTGGAAAACCTTGTAATGCTTTGAGTAAATGGGCAGAAAAATTCAATGTCATTGGAGTCACTGCACTTAAAACCCGTCATACAAGAGGTCAAGTTATTACTTTTGGTTTACAGTTTCCAAGTATCATCACCTTCCAAATATCTAATCTATGTACTGTTTGCTTATAGGATTTACTCTGAACACTACTATGTCTACTAGGATCATTATGAATCCTAAAGGACAAAGAGCAGATATGCTTCGAGAATGGTAATAAGTGCATTACATTTATTATGAATGAATAGTTAAACCTTGTAACAATAAGCAACTGATTGCAGCTCACTTTCTATTTCAGGGTTAAGTTGTATCAACATGTGCTGCTAGACAGACAGGAAAGGATATTGAATGTAAGGTACCCAAGCACTGAAAAAAAAAAATTGTGACCATAGCTGAACTGAGAAGCAAAAAGGTTTTCCCTTTACTCACTTACTCTGTTAAAAATATTACTGCATAACAAATAACACTTTCAAAAAATATAATGGTCCCACAATGACTGATCTACATTAACTTACATTGATGCAGGCAGCCAATGCAACTCCAGATGAAATAGCTTGGATCAAAGTGACTATACCAGAAGCTGACTTGTAGAGAGTTAATGCATACATAGGCTGTCTTGGTTGTGGAAAACGAACATATCTTGCTTTGGGAACTCACTTTCCTTGCATTTCATGCAAAAAAGGAGATATTATGGCTGCTCACAGGTATAGCTCTAAAACAATACATGTGTTTTGTTTCATATTCTAAATTTCTTTTAAATCGCCAATTCATTTTACTATATGCATTTGCAGAGTTACTTTCAAGTTCGAGGCTGCTGATCACAGTGGAACTATGTCGTTTACAACGTTTAATGATGATACAGAAAAACTTTTCCGAAAGACAGCATCTGAAATCTGGAATATGAAAACCTCTGTAAGAATAAAAACCAATGCCATGCTCTTGCACTAATTACAACTTTATTTGAAATTTGTGTAGTCTTATTTGAACTGTAATACTTAAATTGAATATACATGATTTGCTAAACACCGTAATTGCTGTAATTATAGACCTTTACTTATACAAGTGATAAAAGTCACTCTACTTTTTAACTTATTCTTGTATTTGAACTGTGCATCTTTCAATAATTATTGAGCCAATGTTACAGATTCATTACTGATGTCTCTGTCCGAAATTGATTAATACTGTGGCCTTAAATAGCTATTGCTTAATCCTGGTGTTATTGCTTACTCTTTAGTATCTACTAGAACTAAAATGTTATACAACGCATCTGATTTGCCCCTCTATTATTAAATTCAATCAAGATAAAAACAACTTAACAAACTAGCTTTCTATTTTATACAATCTATTTGTGTAGTATAGATATTCATTATCTTGCACTTACTTTTAATGTCACACCGTCAAAATTGTAGGGAAATTTCGAAGTGTTCAAGGCCATACAAGAAATATTGTCAACAAAGCCTTTTTTCATCCAAGTAACTCCGACTTTGGAATTAGCGAGGAATAGTGTTCTGTTATGGACTTTGAAATCCATTGAAGTGGAAGATGCAGAACCAGAGGCTCAAGTTCTAGGCTCATCATCTGCTACTCGTAACAACGATCAGAATACCTCTACAGCCGCTAAGGGACACAGAATAGAACAACCATTCATGACTGGGGCTGCAGCTTATGGCAGGAAAGACTTCAACATGTCACCAGCCACAACTAAGGCTCATGGCAAAGCAGCAGCTGTTTCTATCCCAGAGTTCAATGCCAATTCAAGTGACGATAATACAGAAACAAATGATGAGATTCTTGCTGAAATAGCTCAGCTTCATGAATTCAAGCTAGCTTCTCAAGCATTTGACACAGATTGCTTTGACATTCCAATTCAGCAACCAAATAGAGGAATTACAATTTCAGAACCACCAGCTTCAGTTACTGAACTTCCTACATGGAACAAGCTTGCTCGCACACGAAGCAATGTCAAGAACAAGGAGCCAATGGCTGTTGGTGAGATGCTGGATTCAGAAGATGAAGACAATGTTCCTAGGAAGAAGCTCCGAACAACCCTTTTTAAAGAAACTGCTGAAAAAGAAAGTTCTGAAAACACAGAGTAATCTGGAAACATCCTCAACAGTTTATGAATGAAGAAAGCTAAAACTATATAAATATTCGCCATCATTTGCTTTAAGGAATATTGGTACTAATCAGTCTCTATGGTATGGTAGTTTGCTAAATCTGAAATACCTTTCGTTTGGATGTTTAAAAGGAACGTTTTGGACATCTTTTGTTCCCAATAAACATCAGCTATGTAATTAGTACTGAAATTATGTAATGAAGCCTGATATGCAGTAGCAGTAGTGTCTTAGTCACCCTATCTTAGTTAAACTTGAATCTTCTGATGTGTATATAGTAATGCTGGCAATTAAAAATTTACCAACATTGTAAGGTAACTATGCTGTACTTGTATCCTTAAATCAGGATACCTATCTATAATAGAAGCTTTGCTATTATAATTTCTTGCTTTCAGTACACACCTTTATAGCATCAGAAGTTATCATCTACACTATAATTCATTAGTTAGCTATATTACTTATTTCTTTTCTATATATTGACTCTTGTTAAAGATTAGTAGCTGTACAGGCCTCTACTATTTTTTGTTAGCTTATTTACATTCTTTCTTGCTCCTGTTAATGTCGCCATTGAAACTTGCAGATTATACAATTAATGATTTGTATCATAAAGTTGTATCCCTCAACTTGCAACTTCAAATTGATACAGCAAGGAAGGTTCGACACAGTTGCAATACAACACTTGCTTATACATGCTTACAAGAACAGGTACTTATTAATAAGATAGCCTTGCAACACACCTGCCCCTTCTCATATCAGTCTTCTTTTTATTCTCAAACCTAACTGAACTCTCAAAAATGAAACCTCGACCTGTCAATGTTCACAGATTCCTTCGCAGCTCATACTAGATTTCTTGTCACTCTCTGTCTTCCAATCCCACAGTATCTGTACTAAGGTACTACTCTACTTATAATTTCAGATAACCCTTTCTAACATTATCTTGCTCATATTATTTAAATGATAAGAAAGTTTAATTACTCATGTTACGAACTTGCATTAACTATAAAATACTAGGATAAAACTCAAGGAACCCATCTAATTTGTCTGACAATCCTTGAATTAACAGCCAGCAACCTAAAACTTCTACGAGGGCATTGTGCCTTAAGAAAACATATATCAATTGATTCTCTTTAAAACTACACAAGCTACACAAAATCACGAATATCACAAAAACAAAACAATTTCACGAGTCATACTTATCTTGCCGTCGAGGGATCGCGCGTGCTCCAACGACTAATGGGAGAAAAAATACAAACTTGTGTCTAATAATATGGCTGATTTAAAGGTTAGTCCAATATGGAAGAACCGCCCAAAGATTTGTCTATTTATGTTAAATTTTTCTATTTTTAAATAATTCGAACTTTAAATTGAATTCTCTTTGAGTGGTCCCACTTGACCGGTGACTTGTTGTACCGGTTAACTTTGAATAATTATTAGTATTTAAATAAATAATTATTATTACTAAGTAATTAATTAATTTTATTCAAAAAAAAAAGTAATTAATTAATTTTATTCAAAAAAAAAAGTAATTAATTAATTTTATTTTAAAAAAAGTAATTAATTAATTAGATAAACCACCTCACCCACTGCCAAACAGCCCAACCCAACCCCCTTCCCCTGTCGGCGCTGCCCCCCTTTCCCCTCCCCTTTGCCGGAATAGCACGCAGTTGCAGGTACAGTAGGAGGCCTAGTTTTCTTGGCTCAAGTCGTTAACATTGGCTTGAATTATGACACCGGCAGCCATGGACTGGGTCTGGGCTTCTTATTCGGGTCCGAACTCACCATTTTTGTATTTTTCGGGTCAAATCAAAAGCTATGAAGCCATTGCAAAATACCAAGTAAAAAAAATCAAAAATAATCAATGAAATGGGTATAGATTATATCTTCCATTTTTGTTTTTTTTTTTTTTTTTTAATTTTTTTTAACTTTTTTTGTTTTTTAATTTTTATGAATTAAGATAAATGGTCCAATTATGTCATGACACGTGTCATGATTAACCCCTAATTACTAACGGAGTTAACGGCCGTTGGTCATTAATGGCACTGGGTGAATTTTTTAAAAACTGGGTGGCATTTGGTGAATTCTGAAAAGTCCGATGACATTTGGTGAGTTTTTAAATTGCTCAGTGGCATTTGGTGAAATTTCCGTAAAAATTAACATGACAAAGCAAGCTACAAGCCTTTGTAGCTTACCATTGGAGATGCTCTTAGTTCCTAATAATCATAATGATATTTTCGTTAAATATAAAATAATTTTAAACCAATCAAAAAACAACACATGGCATAAGAAACCGGTTACCGGAGGTTGGTAACCTGTTGAAGCAAATTTGAGTTAAAGTTTGAATTATTAAAAAATAATCGAAAGTTCGGATTATTTTGAGTAAATCGAGTAAAATTGGGATTATTCTTGTCAATTTTTCATTTAACAAGGTGTTTGGTAAATGGGAATTGAGGGTGGGAATGAGATATTAAACTACGAAATTAAGCAGAAATTGTTTTTTTTTTTCGTATTATCTAATTCAATAATACTATAAATATTATGTATTCTTAGGTACTACTACGAAGTATTATGTTGAATGGAGCATTTTTTTTGAGCTAACAGTGCTGTAATATCTTGATTATTAACTAGCTGTTGAAAGGTGAATGTTTCTACTTGGTACTGGTGTAGACATTCAAAAGAAATCATATACTATAACAACGTTTTGGTCTTATTTGAGAACTATGCAGTTGTGCTCATTGTTGTCTTAATGAAAAATGTCAATGTGTGATTTAAGGTGGGTGAATATTACTTGTAATTATAGAATTTATTGAATTGTTGAATGCTAGATGTGTTGCAGTGTTGTAGCAGAATTCTTGCAATCATATGACTCAATTTTCAAGGTACATTTATGCTAGATGAATGTCTGTATTCCCTGATCTTTTAATGCACAAGCACCCATACATGATGATTTGGTTGCTAGATGTTTGATGAGAAGAGTGTTTCTTTGACCCCTTGGTTGGAATAAACTCGTGATTCTAGTTAATGAGGATTTGGCTGCTATGCTCTTGTTAGATGTGTGATGCAGTTGATCAGTACTGCTGTATGTACAATCTAGCTATACTTACATTTAAATATTTAATAATGCTGATACACATGAACATCAGGTTGTGTACGTAGGAATTTCATCTGCGTAGTATTTTTGGGATGCTAGACTTGTTTGTGTACATAGGAATTTCATCTACTTAGTATTTTTTTCCTCAATTTGGAAGTGTGAGAGGGTTGGATTGGATGCTGGTAGATAGTACATCTTATGGTGGTGAGTAGATAGATGAATCCTTTTAGGCTCTTTGTTTCAACAAGATAGTACTCGATGAATCCTAAACTCACAATAAACCACATATTATATATTTTGTTGCTGTCATATCCCAGCTGAGTAGTCTGATTACATTTTCTAAATTACTGTTATGGTTATCCTAGAGTCTTTCCAGCACAGAAGTGATGGAATTGCGTACATCAATGAAAGACGGAATCCTCATGTCATTTACGGAACATAGACTACAAATCTAGGAGTAAGAAATTTTCCAAGCTTAGTCATGATATCTCTGCTTTTTGATTGCAGAATTCTGAGAATCTGAAAATAACATGCTTCTGGTTAGGTACTTGTGTGATTATTTCATGGAGTAAAATAAGTGATGGTAGAACTTCTGTTGGGATGATGCATGGCTTCTGTAATGCCTCGACTTTGGTTTATGTTTTGTGGCATTTCCTTTTTGTTCTAACTTCTCCTTTCCTGTTTCTCTTCTTCACTGCCTTTTGTATTCATTTTATTGTACTCATTTCCTAGATGTTACCTGATAGTTATGAACATCATGCATATCATCTGTCTAGTTAGAAGTTAGAACCTCTGACCTCTGTTTTAAATATATTGTATGGTGCATGGCATTTTCGTGTGTGTCAATTTTACTTATTTATCTGCTTAAACTAACATAGTGGCTGGTAAGGGACCATTTAAGCAAACCATTGGTTGTTTGATAAGATATAAATGCATTTTTTTTCAAGGGTGCTTTCCATTCAAAGTTTTGCTGTTTGTGGGTTATTCAAAGCTCCTCCTCCGTCTCTTTCGTGAAATTTAAAAATATTATCGTCCCATCTTACTTGCATCATCACTGGCATTGGTGAGAGCTGCGATGGAGAAAAAGTAATTTGGTCGTATAACATGCAAGAAAATGATCCTCATATACAACTCCTTTTTAGCAATTTCTTCTGGTTGGAAAGTTTACATTATATTCTTGCTACCAAGATTTAACAGAGCTCTATATGTGTAAATCTCCATTTGTGCTTTGTTTAACTAATTTTAAAATTGCACATAAGCTTCACTTGCGACCAAAGTTTACGTGTCACTTGTAGAGTTATAGTACCAAGTACTCCATACGTTCCTTTTTATTCTTTACATTTTTTGACTTATATGGTTGAAGTTGTTCTCTAGCCTAATTGAAAGTCGTAGTTGGTTTTCCACTTGAGGGAGAAAAAGGGGCAATTGATACAAGTAAATTAGGCTCTCTAGTGATAAGGGTTAAACTTTAAAGTGACTTGAATCAGTGTCAAAAGATTAATGGGTTTTGAGCATTAAACCAGGTTATGCTTCTTACTTTCTTCATAATGCTATTGCTTTCCTTGTGTTGATGGCCCACGACGTGCAATTGTGCATGTTATTGCTTATGAAACCCCCCTTATTTGATTGCTATTATTGTAATCAGTTAAGCTTCAGGGTCAGTTGAGTACTACTAGTCTACTACTATGTTACAAATTCATCCTTTTGGTAAACATATAATGGGTTCATCCTCACCTTCCATACTTTTCAGCTCAACTTCTTTTCTTAGTCTTTTCTCCTTATGCTTTCCAATCGAGCTCGAATCGCCTTTCTTGAAGGACCTGTTGGAAGCTGAAGTTATCCTGCACTTGGTATATATATTAATGTATAGCATACTTATAGCTCTTTCGGTTGCCTTTTGACTTGGAATCCTTGTTGGCAAGCTTGAAATGGCATTTGAGGCTTCAAATGCTTGTTTAATTTAATCTAAGTGCTTTCATGTGAACTGTTGTGCGACAGCGGAAGCAAAGGTCGAAAACAAACAAGAAAACAATAAAGAAATTCAATGCAAACAATAAGAACAACACCAAGAATTTACGTGGTTCACTATCGATGTGATAGCTACGTCCACGGGCACCGAGATCGAATGATTTCACTATAAACTGCAAAGATTACAAAGATGATTCTTGTATTTCTCAAGAACGGCTCTCACTCTGTCTCTCTTAACCCTAATACTGATATTAGGGAGGTTTTATATTAATCCCTAATTAAAAGATACTTGGGCAAAAAGATAATAAAA